TAAATATAAAGTAAACTCAGATTTAAAATGTTTTCCATAATGAACGTTTCTAGAAAAAATTTAAAAAAATTTGCAAATGCAAGTTTCCAAGTAATTTTATCATAAATAAAATACTACAGAATTAAATAAAAAAATTATATATAGCTAAAGTACATAAAGTACACCAGATGAAATAACATATTGTATATGTACATAAAAGTACAGCTATTTTGCAGCTCATTCATTTTCCAAGTTCATTCCAATCATAAACTGAAATCTTAATTGGGTTGCTAGGTCTAAAGTCTGCTAGAGCCCATAGACTTTGTGCAATTAGTGTAGCATAGTCATCGACTCAGCAATCAATTGTTAGTTTCAACTATCCATATAAATATTAATAGTCTCTAGAATATCAACTCACATGGCTCAGCTCTTCCAATCACGCAAACGCTTAATTGCTTTTGCATTCAAAGTTCTTTGCACGAGTCACCCTGTTGATTGGGTTTGCTTTTGTTGTTGGCTTCACTTTTGTGGCATGCGTCGTTGCACAGCGATTAAAATTTAATTTCAGACTAAATCGATTTATTTTTGATTTCTCTTTTTTTTTTTTATCAACGTATACATATATCTACATATACTATATACAGCACATTGTTTTGCACTTTTCCCCAGCGGCCAGCGGCGACGTCGACGAGCACACAACAATGAAGCCGATGAGCATAAAAAACGCGTAGTATTGGCAAAAATCAAATGGCTAAAAATAAATTGACATCAATCAGCGGCACGAAGGGCTTGAGCGGGGCGAGCAGGGCGGGCGAGCATTGGCAGCAATGCAACTAATTAAGCGACGTCACATGCAACACAAACAGCAACAAGAGCGAGAACGACAATTGAAACATCGGATGGATGCCGTCGCGTATTTTTGGTATTTAAATATCAAACAAACCCGGCGTAAAAAAACAAATGTGAAAAAGCAATATTGGAATTTATTGCGGGATGCGGCGATTCGGACCGTTCGACGTTTTGGCTGCAACTAACAAGGCGGAGCGTTTTATCATCGACTTTGCTCAGCTGAAATGCAAACGCAAACAAAACAGCTCATCTTGGCTCAAAGCTCAACTCATCTCAATATGAACATTATTTGTTGTTGCTGCTAGATGTCAAAAAGGTTCTGGGCGGACATAACTGGAAAAACTTGATTTACAACCTGTTGTCTCTAGTGTTGCTTGATGCTGCTACTGTTGCTGTTGTTGTTGTTGTTGTTATTGTTGTGAAATTGTTGCGCTCTTTTTTAAATGACTTTTAATGTTAGTTTCTTGCTATGATGTATTCTTTTTTGTTCATTTGCAAGTCTCTCACTTGTTGTTGTTGTTGTTCGTAGTGCTATTGTTGTTATTGCTGTAGTTGCTGTTGTTGCTGCTGCTGCTGCTAATGAGTTAATTAACACATTTGGCTCGACGATTTTTTAAGGTGAACTTCGTAACAGTGTTGCGTTGCGTGTGCGCTAATTATGATTAGAATCAAAATGCGAGAATGCGCACAAGAAAGATTGAGCTCAATATGATATATATTGTGTATATAATAGAAAATAGTTTAAGCTTAAGAAAGTTTGGGGTGTTACCTTATATTTAATTGGTAAAAGAATTTTTGCAGGTTTAGATAGAAGTCTGTTCGTTAGCAAATGAAGTCCAAATAATGTGAGAGTATAGCAAAGATAAAGTAGACTAGGTGATCGAGACTAAGAAAAATGACCTTTAAACTGACTATAATGGCAGAGTAAACACACTCCCTTATAGAGAATTTAAATCAAAGAAACCAGCAGAGCTTTGGAAATATGGGTAAAATTCGATACACTTTTTGCTAAAGCTGACAGAAAATACATCGGGTAGATGATAGTACTGAACCAATTTTCTATCATCTTTTAGGCTATAGGAATATAATTTTAATTTATTTCTATTTTTAATCCAGTTTTGTTAATAAACATTTTTTTTTTAAATATATATAAAGATTTTATATAAAGATATATGTATATGAAGATTGTCAAGCTCATTTAGAAATGCTTCAACTCTGCATATATACATATATATGGAGCTGTTTATGTATCATCAATTAATCAACATCTCTATCATTAGAAAGTCAGCCTTCAATCTATATCGTCTACTTAATCTACTCTCATATCAATCATCAACCATTGTCATCAGCATTCGCTTTAATTTAACCTTTGTTATTAACTTTAGACCTCTCCCTCTCACCACCTCCCCTAAATTTTTCATTGATTTCCGTAGAATATTAAAAAAGTGGAAGTAAAACAACCAAGTAAAACTGGCAATGAAATATGCAAATATAAATTTTATACAAAGTTGGCTCAAGGTTTCTGAAACGATGACGTCTTCTTTTCCTTCCTTTTCATCCTCTTCACAATTGCCTTCCGGTAATTTCTAGCCACATTTTACATTTCAACGCGACAACACACTCACACACTCACACTCGCTCATTTATATGTACTTGACTTGCCATAATGGCTAATTTGAATTTTTATCATGTTTACAAGCAAACAATACGTGCATCATCATCGCAGAGGAAGTCAGGAGACGTTCCTCGCTCTATCGTCACCGCCTCTACCACCCAACCTCTCCTTGTGTGGTACTGCTATTCAGTTTCACTACTCGACAACATTTGCATATCGATTTCATATGCGGCAATATTCCCCACTCTACGTCAAATGCAAATACAATCCATTTTGAATATTTTCTTGGGAACGCGCGAGCAACAGAGATAGAGATAGAGATAGAGACAGAGACAGAGAGCGAGAGCGCCTTCTCAAATTGTCTGGAAAAACCATGAAAATGTTAACATGTCTGCCTTTTTGCCCGTTTTCCAGTTGCTTACTGCATTTCTGGCGCGCCCTCAAGTATGCAGCGCCAAAATTCAACAAGACCAAACAAAAAAGCACATTTGACATTACGTATTTGCAAATTTAATAACACCCTGCCAAAATGAATGGATGCTCAGAAAAGTGGGCAAGGGAAATGGAACTGACTAAGATAATACGCATTTCAGAATGGTTTTAGAGAGTGATATTGAGTGAAGGTTTTTTTTAAGGACTCCTAGTGAATTTAGTCGTTGTAGTCCATGGGTTTCAGCCTTAGCATGAGAGATTAATTATATATATAAATATTAATATCTAAGACGAAATATGTATAC